CACCTTTTCCTTTACCAGAGCTTTATTTTATTTTATTTTATTTTATTTTATTTTATTTTATTTTATTTTATTTTATTTTTTTAAAGATTTTATTTATTCGGGCGCCTGGGTGGCTCAGTTGGCTAAGCGACTGCCTTCAGCTCAGGTCATGATCCCGGGGTCCTGGGATCGAGTCCCGCATCAGGCTCCCTGCTCTGCGGGGAGCCTGCTTCTCCCTCTCCCGCTCCCCCTGCTTGTGTTCCCTCTCTCGCTGTGTCTCTCTCTGTCAAATAAATAAATAAAATCTTTAAAAAAAAAAAAGATTTTATTTGACAGAGAGAGCACAAGCAGAGGGAGAGAGAGGGAGAAGCAGGCTCTCTGCTGAGCAAGGAGTCCGATGCGGGACTCGATCCCAGGACCCTGGGATCATGACCCGGGCCGAAGGCAGCCGCTTAACTGACTGAGCCACCCAGGTGTCCCACCAGAGCTTTATTTGAATTCTTTACAGTAAATTTTCCCTGGTCCAATAGCAGCTGTGGTTTCTGCCTCCTGAATGGACACTTTCACACAACCCAAACCACAGTTCTTGGCGTTCAGCCCCTCTACTCCCAACAGCCACACCCCACCTCTTGGGATGGCCGGATGGGAGCAGAGCAGGGGGCCTACCACTAGAGAATCCCCCAAACTCTGCTTCTGTCCCTGGGCTCTGGGAAGCACCCCTTCCCCTCTCTAGATCCAGCCACACACACACACCCCCATCCAGCCCTACAGCCCCACCTGCACACTGTGGGCCTTTCTGTCTTTGAAGGATGTGGCCACTTCTGTGCTCAGCCAGGACTGAGAACATCTGCTGGAGAACCCATAAGCCCGCCCTGGGAACAAGAAGGCTCGCTTGCCCTCTTGGCTAAGAGATGGGAAGACGCCTCTCGGCCTTTGAGTCGGCTACCACGTAAAGAGTGAAGAAAGAACGTAATATCCACACAACCGCTTTGCCACACAAAGAGGCCGAGACTTACCTAAAGCACACTGACACAACCCTTTAGCATACTGATTTGGGAACCCTACATGTGAGACAGTATCAGCTTTAGGAGCCGGGTGGATGTAGGTCCCCATGGTGGGGGTGGGGGTGGGGGTGGGGGTGCTAGTCTCAACTCCAAACTTCCCTTCCCTTCTCTCCCCGCCGCATCCCACCCACCCCCACACTCAGCCTTTCTTCTGGAACAGGGGTTTTCAAGCGGAAGATTGCAAAATCAATTTAGTGCATAACAATGAGCAATTTTTCAAATTACAAAATAAAGTAGAAAATTGCAGAGTACATCAAAATCTAAAACAAAAATGGTCTCAAAGCTGGTCTAGGGAAAATCTTTTATTTTTTGCTTCTAGCTGATGTAATTCTGTCTCCTTTTAGGAAAAAAAAATAGCATGCATGATAAAATGCTTAAGCAATGTTTAGATGAATTTTAATAGCGTTAAGATTTGTTCTGGGAAATTAGTTACCCACTCACCCACCCAGCTGTCTTCCATCAGGAGCCCGGTGACCAAACAATGGCTGACAGTTCTTTTTCTCTAAAACGTCCCCTTCAAGAGGGGATCTGTGAATTGGTGCACCAGGGGCCTTTTTCTTGGCTTGCAAGGTTGCAATAATACTTTAACATGTGCTAACTAATGCAACAGAAAAGTATTCTTCAGCAGCATAAAGTGAGGGTAGGTATTGATTCAGGAAAGTTGTACTCAAGCCCCGTGGGCCAGCCACCAGCGGACACAGCCTGCAGGCCTGCCCTGAGCCCCCAGCCGTGAGGAGGAGGGAAGCAGTTCTTGTCAGGTTTGGATTCTGAGGAGCGCCCACGGAAAATGCGGATCAGTTCTGGAGCGGTTGTCGTTTCTGAGAAGGAATCAGAAGCAGCGGGGACTGCCTAGGGATGGGGGACTGTCACTAGGTGAGCGGCTTAGCAGTGGGGCACCCCCACTAATCGCTGGGAATTGCAAAGCCTGTCTAGGGGTACCACTGATAAGAAAGCAGCAGTCGCTGAGAGGGGGCTGTCATGCTGTCTTAAAACTGCCACATGTCCTTGGGAGGGAAGCATGTTTTCTGCTAGCTTTGCTGTAGGCTCTGGGTCTAGCCTGACTGACTATTGGGCTGTTGTTTTCTATTTCAGTCTGAGTTGATTTTTACTCTTTCAGTCCCAAACAGGTCTTTCCTTTTCCTTTTTTTTTTTTTTTTTAAAGATTTTATTTATTTGAGAGAAGGAGTGCACAATCAGGGGGAGAGGGAGAGGGAGAAGCGGGCTCCCAGACTCGATCCCAGGACCCCCAGGATCACGACCTGAGCCAAAGGCAGACACTTAACCTACGTGGCCCCCCATGCGCCCCAGGTCTTTCCTTTTTCGGTTGCACTTATAAATACAGATCTGTGTGTACCCAGTCTTGATATAAAATGTATTTCTTACTGTGGGTCAAGGTTAATAAAAAGCCACCATCTGGTAAACTGCTTCCTAATCTTTTCAATGTTGTGGCACACATCGAAAGTGATTCTTTGTTCAGTACAAACGGTATTTGTTCTGCTCACCGGGGCAAATACATAATGCTTCCTGGGGCTTCAGAGGTGACTGGGCGCTGGCTGTCCTGGGTGAAAGCAGCAGTATGTCAGGCCCATTCGGGCTCCTGCTTAGCACACCACTCAAGAAGCTTCCCTCTGGAGAATAGGAACTATTATAGTTCAGCGAAAAGTGATCATTTCTGGAAACACAAAGAGCCTATGTGGACTCCAAGGCAGGAGAGGTCTGAGGTCTGAGCCCTGGGCCCAGATGGGGCACTTTGCCGCTGACTTGGTTCAGTAATGAACTGCCCTTGAGCCCCTCAGCGTGGGTCCTGGAAACCACTGGCCCCCTTCACAGCTGGGAGTGACTCTAACAATGTGTTCACATGGTCATATATTTTAATTTTGTTATTATTATTTTTTAAGATTTTCTTTTCTTTTTTTTTTTTAAAGATTTTATTTTTAAGTAATCTCCACACCCAACGTGGGGCTCAAACTCACAACCCCAAGACCAAGAGTTGCGTGCTCTACTGACTAAGCCAGCCAGGTTTCCCACAGTCATATGTTTTTATTAAACTTGCAAAAATTGGACATTGAAGCTGGAACGAACTGAGCCTGCTAGCTCTTCTCCATTCTGACTTCCTTTTCAACACATTTCCTCTCCTGTCAGGAGGCCTAAGTGTGGCCACAGCTGTGTATACTGTGTATTCATGATTGTGTATTTTAGTTCTGAACAAAGCCTCCAAAAGCGGCAATAGCCTCTGCCACCGATGATGGAGTTGTGCAAAGGGGTGGGGGTGGGACTGGACTGTTTCCCCACCTTCCCTTTTATGGTCCTCAAAGCAATCATTCTTACATAACCTTTACTGGGTGGATTTTCGCTTTCTTTTTGAAATGTGTTAATAATATCTAGAATGTGCACAGTAAACAATTAAACAGTACAAGGAAGTATACAATAGACGGAGCCACCAGCGCACCCCAATTCCCAGGCCCATGCCTCAATGGGATAATGCCAAAAACAATGTCTGGTGGCTCTTTCCAGAAATGTTATATCTAGATCTAGATCCTAATTTTAATACAAGCGAAAGTTTTTTGTTTTTTGTTTTTTTGCAGAAGCATATTCATACACCTGTTTGTACTTAACAGACTGGTACTCTTTCTGTATCTGCACATAGAATTTGCCTTCATTTTTTTTTTTTTAAACAGTGGCATAGACTTCATGTGCCAAAATTAATTTAACTACTGGGGCAGATTTTATCATGTGCATTCATTGCACTTGTCCTGCAAGGTCCCACTTGCTTGTGCTTAAGACTTCATAGAAGGCTGTTACATGTCTCAATCTTTCTGGGTTTTGATTCTTCACCTAGGAAATCTCTCTCAAGAGATAAGTCAAGCAGGTGAGTCCCCATGTTGGCCATCCCGTGTCAGGGAATCAGCTGTCTGCTTAAACTCAAACTCTGATCCCTTAAGATTAATGATGCACCAGCCTCACCACGTGGGGAGTGACACCCCTCCTCACCCCCTCAAAGATCCACCTCGGAGATGGTGTTAGTTGATACAATAACTACAGCTGCCCAGGGGCGCCGCCCAGTGCTGGGTCCCAAGCTGAAATGAGTCAGCTCTATTTTGTGAGCCATATGACGGGGCCGCGGGTCTCGCCTTGTGCCTAGTTCCATTCAATTACTGCGAGTCTTGTTTAAAGCTTCCAGCTGCAGGGCGGGCCGGACTGAAAGCCAGAACGTTCTAGAGGGAGCAGCGCCACCGCGAGGCCAGCTGCGGTGGAGACGGCCGGAAGGTGGGGGCGCTCCCGACCGGACAGTGGGTTTGGTGGAGGCGTCAGGTCGGGGCACCGGGTTCCCCTCCGCACACGGACATTCTCACCCCCAACCTCGGAGGGTCTGGGTCTGAGTTCATGACACGGACATAAGTTTTTCCTGACTCCGCTCTGCCAGCCCGCCAGCCCATCAGCCCGCCACGTCCTGGAACCGGGCCTTGCACTCATCTACAAGGCTACAGTGACTACCGAATCCGGGGCAAAGTCATAGACTCAGGGTTCCGCCAATCCCCCCCACCCGGTTTAGATTACTACCCTCATTCTGTGAGTATGCACTCTTGTGCTCAGGGCCTCTACGATTAATTCCCCTGTGGCGTGTCCAGCTGTTTATTCCTGTCCCTTTGAGGACGGGATGGGCAGTAGGGAATGCGCAGGCCGATTAGTTAGGCAATTAGGGCAGTCAATCCAGGCCTGCGGTCTGGAAGACTACAAGTTCCAGAACGCATCCTTCCACTAGCGTAGGGAAAAGCCGATTGAGGGAGAATTGCCTTCGGGGAATTGTAGTCTTCAGCTTGTTTGTGACGCAGACGGAACTCGGGGGGTGGGGGGAGCGAGTAAACTATTACCACGTGACGCTCGAGATCAGGTGGTTGGGCCAGGCTCCGCGCAAGAGCTGTGATTGGCTGACTCTAATACGAACGACGCCACTAGGGGCGGGCCCTAGAGGGGCGCAAGCGCACTGCGTTGGGAGTCTCGGGACCCTTTTGCGAGAGACTATGGCGCTCAACAAGAATCACTCGGAGGGCGGCGGAGTGATCGTCAACAACACCGAGAGGTGAAAACACTGCGGAAGGATCTTGGAGGAGGGAAGGGCGGGCGTGGGAAGTAGGCCGCTGGGCGGTTGGGGATACACCCGTGAACGGGATAAACTGTCGGGGTGCGGTTTGGGGGAGGGTAACGGCTGGAGGCGGGGCCGGAGGCAGAGGGTGGGTCGCGGAGGAGCGGCTGGGATGTCGCGATTAGCCGTGGGATGGGGGGTGAGGCGGCTGGAGGGGGATGGGGCTTGGGGAGACAGGTGGGGCCCCGGGGTCGCTCTTGAGCCCCTTTCCCGGAGTCGATGACTTCAAGAGGTGGGAAGAGCGTTAGATAAAAAACAATTGCCACTTTTTGAGCGGTTACTACGTTACTACGTGCCAGGCCGTGCTCCTCTTCTACTTTAATATGTAAGTGCGGCGCGGCGGATCATACTATTCAACACATTTTACAAGTAGGGAAACTGAGGCACGGAGAGGCTTAAGTAACTTGCCTGAGATCACAGAGCTGTGAATAACACCGATGGGATTCTAGGAAAGGCGTCTTTAAAGTCAACAGGCTTCACTACAGTACATAGCCTTCCAGTATATTCCAGAACTGCTGAGTTTCCAGATGAGAAACTGAGGCCCAGAGGCGCAGTTAAATAGATATTTGTCAGATGAACACATTTCCTGGCACGGTATCCGTCCTTGTGTCTTTCTTCCCCGCCCCCCTGGCCCCTCCAATCAATTCTGTCCTCTCTTCTGTCTGTGGACTTCTCGGGGGCTTCTCTCTTGCTCCTTGGGCACAGGGAATTAAACCATCTAGCCTTGGTTGAGCTACGTTGACCCTGAAATGCCTCTGAAGGCAGAAGGCTTATGAGGAGTCTGAGTCCTCAGAAGAGACTTGGTGGGATCAGAGCCTTATAGCCTGCCAGGGCCAGCACTCAGGAATGCTTGATGAGTCAGGAGAAAGCCTGGGATGCCCCTGGCTTCAGAATGCTGACGTTCCCTCCATCTTACCTGCTCAGGGTCTGCTGGACCAGCCTATTCCTGGTATGACCTCTTTTCTCTGAGCTCTACTTCTTAAATATATATATATATTTTTTTTAAGATTTATTTTAGAGAGAGAGAGGGCCTGTGGAGCTCAGGGGGTAGGAGCAGAGGGAGAGGAAGAGAGAGAATCCACAAGCAGACTCCCATGCGGGGCTCAATCGCAGGACCCTGAGATCATGACCTGAGCAGAAACCAAGGGTTAGCCACCTAACCGACTGAGCCACCCAGATGCCCCTCTGAGCTGTACTTCTCTTTTCTGGTACCAGTCCTCTTCCCCACCTGCCCTAGTGAAGAAAGTTGTGGTATTTGGGAGGAGGAGGAAGACAAATGGAACCATGTGGACTTGGACCTTGTTATCTTATAATCAGAGAAACCTCACATTGTTCCCGATTTGTCTCTCTGTGTACGAGCCAGTCCCGGGCCTGGAAAAACACTTTTGATGCCATTTGGTAACATCTCCTGGGACTCTTTTTCTTTCTTTCTCAGTGGGACTTTGTGGGACAAGAATGTATCTGTCCTGGTGAGCCTCCTACCTGGCTTCGGGCTCTGTGCTGCTAAACAATGGTGTGCCTTGTTTTAGAAAATGCTTCAGCCTCATTTCTGAAAAAAATTGTGTGTACGGCAACTGGAGTTTAAATTAGTGTTTAAAATTTCATGTGTAAAATAGCCTTATTCTTCAAGTGATGAATCCCTTTGAGAGTGATGAAAGCCGCAAATTCTTCCAGAAAAATGCATGGACACCCATTATCTCAAGGGCTTCATGGACTCACACCCCTGCAGACCCAGTTCAGGAAGCCCAGGTTTAAAGGAACCGTGACATCAGCCCTTTGGTAATGCGTAGAGTCACGCCTTAGAGGGTTTTTATATCAGTACTAATAAACCAATGAAAACAGACACCTATTATAGGGTCTCAGAAGAAAATGAAAGCGTTAACCCAGGTAATCTAACGTGATTTGAGGGATGACGGTGTTACAGCTTTATTGCCCTTGGCTCTTCTGCTGTGGTCACCTGGGGGGTCTGTATGTAGGGCTTGGGGAAATTCTGTAGACCCCCACCTTGCTCATCTCTTCTGAGGCTGTATTAATGGTTTCCTTGCAGTGGTGTCCAAACAGGTTTGAGACCCGTTGTGCTGATCACCTGCTTACCGGGGGGCGGGGGGGTGGGGGGACAAGGGTTGTCAGTCCCTGGGGAAAGCAGGTCATGGCTCTGAACTGGCTCATTAGGGCCTGTCCTCATTTCTCATCACAGCATCCTGATGACTTATGACCATGTGGAACTTACATTCAGTGACATGAAGAACGTGCCCGAGGCCTTCAAAGGGACCAAGAAAGGCACCGTCTACCTTACCCCGTACCGGGTGAGTCGCTCCGTGTGATGGTTTGAAAGCTTGTGGTTCCTGGTGGCGGACGGTGAGTGTTAGGTCAGCCTCAGCCTCATGAGCCCAGTGGCCTCTGAACCTGGTGAACGTTAGCTCCTCGCTCACGTGTTTCTGTCATGTGCTCCTGGGTTCTAGAATCACCAGACTCTCTGGGCAGCTGAACCAACCCCTAGGCATTGAATCCATGCAAATTCCGGAACGGTTGGTGTGAAATCTGTATGTTGTTGGGTGCCGCTGCCCGGATGACTTGGGCCTGGAGTGGGGAGGCTGTTAACGATTTTGATTTCTGTAAGCGCAGTGCACGAGGCCTTCGTGCACGTCCAGAATGACAAATGTGGTAAACAGGGTACAGTAACATGGCCAGAGCCTCCAGGCTGGGCAGACAGCCCGGTACAGCCCTGCAGAGCCAGGAGTGCCAGACTGCAGCGTGGGCCTTGCCTGAGACGGACCCAGGCTGACGGGAGCCTTCCAGAGAAAGACAAATGGCCATTCTTGGAAAAGGTTCACTGCCCATAGCTACCAAGAGTTAGAGTTAAAGATGGTTGGAAGAAAGGGGCATATCTTCCAGTTTTCATCACCGAGACTTAGCAGAGACCAGGGAGTCTCAAAATCCCTTTTGTGGTGGCATCTTCAGTCCCAGATCGAAGGGTTTAAAAGAGGGTTTTCCGGGGCGCCTGGATGGCTCAGTTGGTTAAGTGACTGCCTTCGGCTCAGGTCATAATCCCAGAGTCCTGGGGTCGAGTCCCACGTTGGGCTCCCAGCTCAGTGCGGAGCCTGCTTCTCCCTCTGATCCTCTCCCCTCTCATGCTGTTTCTCTCTCTCTCAAATAAATAAAATCTTTAAAAAAATAAAATAAAAGAGGGTTTTCCAGTTGTGGGGTGGGACACTCTTGCTGTGTGGGCAGCCCCCTTCTCCCGGGATCCAGCACCTCCTCCCCTCCTTCGCTCTCCTTTCTGTGAAGCTCGGGCTACACGTCCCCCTTCTGGAAGCCGGAATTCCCTCCCCCTGCCTCCTTGCCCTAGCTTTACAGCCCCCTTCACTTGCCCACCACATCCACCACTTAAATGGCAGAGCAGCCTGTCCCTCTCACGTGCCCCGTGAGCAGCACGTTTTCCTGGTGAATACCCACGTTCAGCCTCTCCAGCCAGGCTGCACGGAGAGCCTTTCACTTTCTTTTTTTTTTTTTGTAAATATTTATTTATTTGACACAGAGAGACACAGCGAGAGAGGGAACACAAGCAGAGGGAGAGGGAGAAGCAGGCTTCCTGCCGAGCAGGGAGCCCGATGCGGGGCTCGATCCCAGGACCCTGGGACCATGACCTGAGCTAAAGGCAGACGCCCAACGACTGAGCCACCCAGGCGCCCCGAGTCTTTCACTTTCAAAGCTCTTTCCAGGAGCGTCTGGTGCAGAGCTTGCCCTGGGGCCGCGGGGCCCTGGCTCTGGGAGCAGACTCCTCACACACAGGAAGTGATAGCAGAGCCAGCCAGGCTGTGATTCGGGCGCTGATGGCTGTCATCCTGTCTCCCTGCAGGTCATCTTTCTGTCCAAAGGCAAGGATGCCATGCAGTCCTTCATGATGCCGTTTTATCTGATGAAGGACTGTGAGATCAAGCAGCCCGTGTTCGGTGCAAATTACATCAAAGGAACGGTGAAGGCTGAAGCAGGAGGTGGGTGATGGGGGCTCAGGGACACAGACAGGGCTTCCAAAGAGGTTTTCTGGCCACGCCTCTGCTGTCTTAGAGACATTCCTCTTCGGCTGTCTTAAACACCCCCTAGCCTTGTCCTCTTCCTGGCTCTGGATTAGCTTCCAGGGCCCCCCACCTGGGCTGCCAGCTATTGAGCAGAGGGGGGCTTTTAACGACGAGAGCCAGGAGAGGCAGCCGGTGAAGATAGGAGCTCTGATCAGCTTTTCGGAGTGAAATCGGCCAAATGACTGAAAAATAAGTGAAAATTCTTATCGTGACCTGGGAAGTGTGTTCACATTTTAGGTATGGGAAGACCTGCATCAGGGCTTGGGAATGGCCTTTTCCCTACAGCCAGGAAGAGCCAGCTGTCCCCCCCCTCCCCAGAGGCCCTGCTGGGTGGCGGGCTTTTTGGCAGACACCAGAGACCTCTGTGTTGAACTTGGCCTCCCCCTCACACCCAGCCAGGTTGAGTCTTGCTCTCTAGGGGCTCACAGTTCCCCTTAGGCAGAAGCCAGGCTAGAGGGGCCAGAGGTCCATCCTTAGGCCCCTCAGGAGGAGGGATCTGCTCTGAACTTGAATGTTCCTTGTTGCTGAAGGAACCTGCTCCGGGAACCTGCTTCATTGAGGAGTGGGAGGCTCTAGTGCTGACGAACTTCCACGGCTGGGGATGGGGTAACTTAGAAAGCTTGTTCCAAGAGAGAAAGTCCTCTGTTCCAAAGAGAGCCCTGCGGACTCGCTGTGTGGGCCGCGCACCGAAAGCAGCCGGGCGGGAAGGCGGGCGCTGCAGAGCCAGCCCTCTCGCCACGGGCGCTGGACAGAGACCTGGAGAGAACAGAGAGCCATCTCTTCAGGTGTAACCTGGCTTCTTTTCCTGAGCTGTTGACGCCCCGTTCCCTTCCCAGGTGGCTGGGAGGGCTCGGCGTCATACAAGTTGACCTTTACGGCGGGGGGCGCCATCGAGTTTGGACAGCGGATGCTACAGGTGGCGTCTCAAGGTATCAAGGCTCTCAGAGCTCGGGGTGAAGACATATTGAAATGTGTGGGTTTTAATTTCTTCGTGTGAGTTTGTTTACTTTTTGTTTTGTTTTTTAAGCACTCAGGAGATAAGTCTCTGGGCCCCGGGCCAACCGGGCCTGGGAATTGGGAAGGAAACTTGTCATTAGCATCACTCTGGCCTGTACCTCAAAGGCTGGGTGTACCTGGCCTGGAGCCTGTATAGGACGTTTGGACAAAGCTCTTTGAACTCCAGGACGTTTAACTATGGCCTCATAAAAATGAACAAGAAACCTGGCCATTAAGCTACCAAGCAACAGACGGTTTAAATCACACAGGGTTGTGTTCAGACATCCTCACACTGTCCCCAGCCTCACCCCAGCTCCATCTGGGACCCTGTCCCCGAGCCTCCCTCTTTCTCTCTGTCCATCCATCCACCCCTGTCTGGACCTCCCCTGCCCTGGCCTCTCTCCCCATCCAGATCCCTCACTTCCTTCCTGACCGAGGCTGGCTCAAGCGTGGGTGGGGAGCGGAATGGGGCGGGGTAAGGCATGTCTGCTGTGCACATTCCTGGGACCCTGCAGCTCCCCTCGGTAGGCGACACTCATTTCTCTCTCCCCTTGTACTTATAGCCTCCCGAGGCGAAGCCCCCAATGGAGCCTATGGGTATTCTCACATGCCCAGCGGGGCCTATGTCTTTCCCCCGCCCGTCGCCAATGGAATGTACCCCTGCCCTCCTGGCTACCCCTATCCACCGCCCCCACCTGGTGAGTGTGTCCTTTGCTGCCCACCCCTCTCCCCACCCACCCGCTAACCACCCCCACCCAGGCCAGGGGGTTGTTGAGGGGAGACTTGTTCTTTGAGCTGCTTCAGGACTAACAGAGGAGCTGGAGAGGCCCGGGAGGTGCCCACTGAGGGAGCCAGGGCCAGGCTGCTCACTGGGTCCCTTTCACTCTCTTGCTGAGCAGAGTTCTATCCAGGACCTCCCATGATGGACGGGGCCATGGGGTATGTGCAGCCTCCACCACCACCCTACCCGGGGCCCATGGAGCCTCCAGTCAGCGGCCCTGATGTCCCTTCCACTCCTGCAGGTGAGACCCTGGGCTGTGAACAGTCCTGGGCGGGGACCAGCCCTCTCCTCTCTGGGGCTGCATGGAGAGCCTCAGAGGACAGCTAGTGGTTGGCCAGGAGCCCCAGGTGGTGAACGACCCTTGGCCTTGGACTAGTCCAGGGGGCCGGCAGTGTGGTGGCTGCTGGGGAAGACCTGTGGATCCCAGCCCCCCACCCTCTCCCGCAGCTAGCCGTGTGCCCCGGGGGCAGGGAAGGTCTCCCTCTGTCCTCTCGTCAAGCACAACCAGAAGGTGGCAGTACCCCCTGTGGCTGGACTGTGGGGAGGATCAGGTGGGGAGAGAGGGCTGAAGGCACTGGAAGGGGCCGGGTAGCACCAGCTTCCCAGAGCCGTGCCTGGTGGGAATCTCTGGTCTCAGCGCAGCTCCGGGGGCCACTGGAAGAGGGGAGGGCTTACCCCGAGTGTGTTTCTCTCGCAGCTGAAGCCAAGGCTGCAGAAGCGGCGGCCAGCGCCTATTACAACCCGGGCAACCCACACAACGTCTACATGCCCACGGTGAGCGGGGACGGGGAGCAGGCGGGCAGTGTGCAGGGCTCTGGGGGCGGGAGACCTTGTCTTGTCGTGGAGCTTCTGATGAGATCTTTCTTCCTTCCTTCCTTAGAACCAGGCTCCGCCACCTCCTTACTACCCCCCAGAAGATAAGAAGACCCAGTAGACCCCTCCCGCCCCTGCCTCCCATCCCTCGTCACTCTTCCCTTCCCTTCCCCTTGGGGCTGAGGCTGGGGCTAGGGGGGTGATGGAAGGGCCTTGTTCTTCCTCCAGGTCTGATTATAAAACACTTCGCAGGGACTGGTGTTGAGGGAAGGGGGGGCCCCTTGACTCGGGAGCTGTGCCTCCCTGCTTCTCAAGCTAGCTCGGAGCCCACGGCGCCACTCGTTTGCGCTTCCCTCTCACCGTGTCTGGGGCTCTGCTCAGGAGCGCGGGCATCCCTCTCGCTCCTGTCTTGCTCCAGTAGCTTCTGCCCGTGGAAGGATTCTGGCCACCTGCGCTACCACAGTCCAGCTCCCTCGTTTTGGAATCCACTTTATATTCAGCCTTGTGACCTCCCTCAGACCAGCCTCGCGTCTTCCTGAGGGCCCCCGCCGGGCCCCCCTCACATTCCCTCCACTCTGGTCTGTGCCTCCCCATGGAAGGCCACCTTCTCACATTCCAGTCCCAGCCAGCCTCCAGCCCAGTCACGCTCACCTTCGCCTCCCTGTCCTGTCCTTGGTCACCTGTTGCCACCACTTTGACTTTTGGAGCTTTAACTTGAGCTTCCAAGGGGTGGGCGGCATCAGGCTGGGCCGCTGCTTCCCTCCAGGTATTTTTGGCTTTTGTTTCCCTCTGCCTTCTTTCCCTCTAGAAGGGGCTTCTCAGACTGGAGAATGCATGTTCATTCCATCATGCCATGTGGGGGCTTTGAGGTGGGTTGGAACAGAGGCCCCTGACCTGAGCCTGTGTGCTGACCATGACCTCTCACCAGCCCCTCACCCTGCCCTCTTCCCTTTAAGCTTCATGCCTAATTGGTGATATGTCCCCTGGATGCACTAAAATTTACTCTCATTTGCTTCTGGACTGGCCGTGAAGTGAGGAGATGGTTATTTAAAGAGAATTCCCTATTTATTTGACAAACAACAACAACAACAAAAAACCCAGTTAATATATTAATGTGAAATAAACCCTGTTTGCACCTTGATTTGTTTGCTGAAAATGTGAAGTAGTAAAAATGAAGTGACTGGACCCTTTCTGGCTCTGTGTGTGGTGACCAGTGTGAGCTCTTGGGAAAAGAGAACAGTCTGGCTGCTACGGCTCGGGGGGGTTTTGGGGAGACCGTTCCCTCCCCGTGTGAGAGTCCCTTGTTCCCACAGCACTTTGGGGCCCAGGACACCAAGGCCTCCCACATCTCTGCTCCGTGGTGGTTACTCAGCAACTTGGCCCACCCACGGGGTCCCCTGGGGCCTGGGGCGGCCGAGCAGCTGCCCTGGGCCGGAGGCCTTGGAGGCCCTTGCCGGCCTGCTGTGCTCGCCACCTCAGGGAGATGCAGCCCTGGCCCGTCTCTGGCCACAAGGTGTCTGCGGGAGGAACATGTGCTGCAGTCTCTCCAGTGCGTGACTTCTTGTGAACCTCCGTGTCTGGGGGCAGGACAGCTAGAGTCCTCCCCAGGGCCTAACGCCCCCCGCCCCGCACCCCTGGGCCCTGGCCTGGAGGAGGGCTGTGGGCGTGGCACCAGTGGGTCTGGGAGCTCTGAGAAAGGCCAGCACTAGAGCACTGGGGTGTCCTCTTTCCTGTCCCTTCTGGCTGGGCAGCGCCGCCTCTCCTGCCGCTTCCTCTGGCCAGCCCCGCCCAGGGAGCCCCTGGGGTTGGCCAGCCCCCTACAAGGGCATCTGAAGGGAGCACCTCCTGACCGGCCTTGTGGGGGCGGGGGCCGCAGGGCCGTCTCCGCCCAGCATGGCTTGGCCCCGTCACCTTGGTGGAATGTCACCTGTGGGGTGGAGCAGGCCGAGCAGTTGGCCGCCTGCTGGGGAGATGCCTCTCGAGCCTCCACCCCGTGCCCTGCCCACCCCCACCCTAGGTCTCGGGTCCGTTCAGGGAAGTCTGTGGGTGGGAACCCCACCGACCCAGGGCAGCTCTCCCCTTGGTCCCTGGCCCAGCTGGGCACACCCGTGGTGTGGGGCAGGCCCTGACGCCCCCTGCTGGGGAGCACTGGATACCCCCCCAACACGCAGCAGGGCCTCCGTGGGAGGGCGGGGTGGGGCCAGACCCGCCCACCAGGTCCACCTGCCTCCAGCCTGATAGAGTTCCTCCCAGGATCCCAGCCGGCCCCAGGAGGAAGGTGTAGGCCTCTGAGGTGGTGAAACCCTGACCGGAACCTCCCCCCACCCCGCCCCCCGCACGGGGGAGGCACCCGGTGCGCTTTGCATAATCCTGTGGCTTCACACTCTTCACCCCACGGCGCGGCGGCAGCTCGGTGGAGGGGAAGGGCAGAGCGGCCACCATGGCAACACCCCTCTCCCACCCCCAGCGGCGCCCCCCTCTCCTCCGCCAGGCCATCAAGATAAGGCGCCGCAGGGTCAGAGATCTGCAGGATCCGCTGGCCCAAACCGCTCAGGAGGTAGGAGTGACCTCAGTGAGGAGGAAGAGTGGCCAGGGTGGGGCTCTAAGGTCTCTGGGTGTGGGGCTCTACCTCTCGCGGGCTGGGGTTGAGGATGTGGTCCCCTTTCCTGCCTGTCGCGGCACCTGGGCAGGGCCTTCTGGGTTGGCAGGCTGGGGTCCACCATGTGTTCTCTGGGCCATCCTGGGTCTCAGGTCTGGGGTCGGAGCCTCTCTTAGCCTCCTCCCTCTGGAGGGGCCCCCTGCCCGCCGCAGCCTCTGGTCTTCCAGCTCCAAAGACACCGGCTCCTCTAGACGGGGAGTGTCCCTGCTGCGGGCCAGGCGGCTTGGGGATCAGTCGCGCAGCCCCCAGGGCTGCTTGGCATGACCCCCCAGTCTCCCACCTCCACTGCTGGGCCTCACTTCCGCCGTGGGGGTGCGGAGCGTGGCCGCCCGATAAGCAGAGCTGCTTCCTCTGGGGAAGGAAGGAGGTGGGGGCCACGGGTGCAGCGAGCTCATGCTGCTGGGGCAGCTGAGCGCCAATGGACCTCAGCCACGGCAGGCCAGGGGATGAGGAGGGCGGCCCAGGGGCTGGACTCCCAGGAGGCCTGCTGTGGGAACAGGTGTGCGGGACTGGTGGGTTGGAGGCCGGGAACTAGGGACCCCGCAGCGCTGGCCTGGCCTGCTCTGAGGAGCCATTGCTGCCGAGCCCTGGTCCAGGCCTTGGGGACACCTTGCCTTTCACTTTACTCCTCAGCTCGAGCCTCCATCCCACCACCTCTCCCCTGAGGAGGTAAGAATCGGAGTACTGGGGGGAGGCAGTGGGGTGCTGGGAACACACTCCTTGGCTACGGGCCAAGGCTGACGGCAACAGCAGGGGAGGGGGGCACTTCTAGGCCTAACCCCCCACGCCCGCACATTGTGGGCGCCTTGTCCCAGCTTTGGCTGCGCAGTGTTGGTGCCAGGGTGGCTGGGGGAGCTCACCTTGCAGTGGGCAGACTGGGGTTCCTGAGGTGACCCTGCTGTGTCTCAGCGGGCCCTGCTCTACGAGGAAGCTCTCTACACCGTCCTGCACCGCCTGGGTCAGCCTGAGCCCAGCCATGTGCGGGAGGCCTCTGAGCTGCTGCAGTACCTGCAGGAGGTGAGTGCAGCCCCCATTCCTCCCGCCATCCTGCAGCCCGGACCCAGGAGTCCTCTCCTCCCCGCCCAGCCACCCCCGCCCTGCGCCCCTAGCCTCCTACACTCCTACCCCACCAGGCCTTCCACATGGAGCCCGAGGAGCACCAGCAGATGCTGCAGCAGGTCCAGAAGCTTGAGGTAAACCTGGTCCGGGACCATCCTAGGCTAGGACAGGGGCTGAGAAGCCCAGCTCCCTCTGGGACTCAGGCTCACCCTTCTGTCCTTCTAGAAGCCAATATTTTGTCTGAAGGCAACCGTGAAACAAGCTAAGGGCATTCTGGGCAAAGATGTCAGTGGTGAGTAGGGGGTGAGGGGCCCTGAGGGTCCTCTTCCCAGCTCCTCCTTCTCCCCATCAGTCCATCCCAGAACTCAGCTGGAACTCCCCGCTCCCGGATGTCCCCTGGGTGCTGCTGGCCCCAGGGCCTTTGAGTCTGGGATGGGAGGGCCTCTGCCCCTGGGATTGGGGTGATGAGGGAGTCTCCCAGGGAGCCCTGCCAACACCCTGGCAGCCTTGTCCTTCCCCTCCTCCCCAGGATTCAGTGACCCCTACTGCCTGCTGGGCATTGAGCAGGGGGTGGGCGTGCAGGGGGGCAGCCCTGGGTCCCGGCATCGGCAGAAGGCTGTGGTGAGGCACACCATCCCGGAGGAGCAGACCCACCGCACCCAGGTCATCACCCAGACACTCAACCCTGTCTGGGAGGAGACCTTCATCCTGTACGTGGCCCTGCCCCAGCCCCTAACCCCTCAATGAGATGAGCAGGACTTCCTGGCTCAGGGGAGGGGACTTGGCTTGACCGGAGGAGGGGCCTGCTCCCGAGGCCAGAGACAGACAGGAAGCACAAATGCCACCTATGCTGGGTTGATGTGGGGGGTAGGCCGAAGCTTTACCTTAGGGGAGGGAGGGGGAGTTTGCAAGGAGGGGCTCGGACGGGACAGTGGGTAAGTGGGGGTGGGAGCTTCTGGGAACAGGCTCTGGCCGGGGTCCAGCCCTCCAAGGCCCTCAGCCAGGCCCTTTTCTCCCCATAGGGAGTTTGAGGACATAAGCAACTCGAGCTTCCATCTGGACATGTGGTGAGAGGCATGCGCTGCCCGTAGGGGTCCGGGAGAGAAGAGAGGTGGTTCGGGGTGGCAGATCCTCCTCCCAAAGAGGTCAAGGGCTCCCAGGACACCCTCTCTGCCTCCTGCTCAAACCTTTGCCCCCCACCCCCCGCCGCAGGGATATGGATACCGTGGAGTCCGTCAGACAGAAGCTCGGGGAGCTCACAGATCTGCATGGGCTGCGAAGGTGAAGGCCACGGGAACAGGTTCCTGGGGGAAGGAGTGTGGGCTGCCTGCCCCATGCATGCGAATCGGTTGCTGGGCTACAGGCTCTGTCCAGGCCCAGGGGGCCACAGGAGGGGGACGGATCCCAGCCTGACCCCTCCGGTGTCTTGGCCCACCCCCCTCATGGCCCCTGCCTGGAACAGGATCTTTAAGGAGGCACGGAAGGACAAAGGCCAGGATGATTTTCTGGGGAACGTGGTTGTGAGGCTACAGGTGAGCGGGGTCAGGAAACAGGGATTCGTGTGGGGTTCAAGGGAGGGGCTCTGGGTCCACATCAAGCCGAGCCTGGGGTGGGCCTCCCGTCGCCTCCTCTGCCCCCAACCGTGTGAGGCTTATGCTGCCCTGGAGCGCCCGCCTGGCCCCCCCAGGACCTGCGCTGCCGGGAGGATCAGTGGTACCCTCTGGAGCCCTGCACCGAGACCTACCCAGACCGCGGTCAGTGCCACCTCCAGTTCCAGCTCATTCACAAGAGGGTAGGTCTGGGGCCAGGAGCAGGGGCCTTCCAGTGGCCTGCCTGGGTAGGGCACACGGGCTGTACTAGGGATGGGGTCCTGTTCTCACCACCCTGCCGGCCCCATTGCAGAGAGCCCCGGCGGCCAGCCGCTCCCAGCCCAGCTACATGGTGCACCTCCACCTGCTCCAGCAGCTGGTGTCCCATGAGGTCACCCGGCACCAGGTACTGCCCTCCCAGGGCTGGCGGGGGGGAGGGGGCGCGTGGGGCCTACCGGCCAGCTCCTGACACCCTTCTACCCGTGCCCTCAGGCAGGCAGTACCTCCTGGGACGGGTCGCTGAGTCCCCAGGCTGCCACCATCCTCTTTCTCCATGCCACGCAGAAGGACCTATCCGACTTCCACCAGTCCTTGGCGTGAGTGTGCCTGGGAGGGTCGCCTGGGAGGCACCAGCCTCTGCCTCCCTGCCTGTCCTCCTACAAGCTGGCAGGCCAAAGTCTAAGCCTCGAGAGATTTCTGTTTGGCCCCAACTGTGTGTGTCGAGTTTTGAGTCCGTTGCCAACTCTTAAAAATCTGGAGATTTTCCATACAGAGTCACATCTCCAGCTTCCCGTGTACCCCAAGTGCATTTGTTCTCCTGGGCTAGCAGGGGGTCGCAGCACAGCGCCTGGCCTCCCCCACCCTCACGGCTGCCATTG